AGGTTGCTGCCCGCCAACCCTCCTCGCTCTCCACCATCTTCCTCATCGCTGCTAGCGAGGGGTCCTCCCCAATCTTTTCCACTACGGACAGGCGTTGCACCCTCCAGGCCGGGCACTCCCGGAGGGTATGATCCGCCGTGTCCCTCGCGTCGTCGCAATGGTAGCAGCGATAGAGGCGGTCCGGGCCGATGGACCCTACCTCGGAAAACGTCCGAGCGGCCCCACCGACCCGTCTCCATCCCGTACCCCATGACTGGGGTACTGTGGGCTCTTGGTAAGGGCACCCTAGGGTGCCCCGCAAGCCCCCTCACCACGACAAGGTGGCCCACGAAGAGGGGGAACCTGAGTCTGACCTGATCTGACCTAACTCGACCTATCCCGACCTAATCCGACCAATCTAACCCGACCTAATCCTACCTACAAGTCCTGATCGCTTGTCGGCTCTCTGAGCTAAGATAGTAGCGGTAGTAGCAGCGTCAGTGGCGAATTGGAGGTGCTACGACCTGATTTCGTGATCAGGCACGAGTCCTCCAAAAGTGTCTTCATCTGCGACGTCACGGTGCCATTTGAGAACCGCTGGGTAGCTTTCGAGGACGCCAGGGCGTGGAAAATTGCCAATTACTTGCCACTGACAGAGGAACTTCAGCAACAAGGGTATCGTGGGTATCTCCGGGATTTTTACCTTGACAATTTATCTGTGACGTCCCGGAGTAGCCGTGATACAACTGTGATAATATACCTCCGCACACTATAATTTATGAACACAGCCCAGACTCTTGCATGACGCATAATGCATAGGAAATCAACCAATCGAAATTCTTCTTTTCCATGGAATGAGAAAAAGAAAAATTTTTATTAGATTCTCTTCTATTAGATTCTCTGGGATTTTATTAGATTCTCTTTTATTAGATGCACTATGCTTTATGGGTTATGCAAAAGTCTGTTCTGCGGCTTATAATGGGTATATCCAAACCGGGTCAGGGTATATCCACACAAATTTGCATAGCCACATAAATGTATGCATAAAGAAAATTATTCAATCACATTTTACGTGCGTATTTATGGGAAAAATGTGATTGGATAATTTTCTTTATGCACACACACATACGCGCGTTTATGCGACTATGTAAATTGATGTGGATATATTCTTAGCTTAGTTTATTTTTCCTCTTAGATGTTGGCAGTTCCGTAACTAAACCAAAAAGTGTTCCGAACCCGTCGGCTGTCTTATCTCGTAACCAATAGAAGCCAGTAGCTGAGTTTGACGATAAATTCGGAACACTTATTGGTTTAGTTATGGAAATGCCAACATTTAAGGGGAAAAAAAAAACTAATCCAGTTCAAATACATCCACTATCTCTTTAGGTTTGTTCACGTCACATGCTTCTATTTCTTCCAACCGTAGCTCCTACCAGAGAAAAACCTAAAAGAGAACCTGACGGCCCAAACTAAGTAACCGCAAAATACTATTGCGCACTACTGCCCTCTAATACAGTGGATGTAAACTATATAGCAACATCCACTTTTCTTAGCGTCTACTTTTCAAGGCTAGAAATGATAAATCGATATTTGGTTCATATAATTGTGCTAATGTAAGAAATCTAACCAAAAAAAAGAGTTCTTTATTTCATTAAAAAGAAAAAAAAAGGAAGAAAATGAAGGACTTTAATTGGTACATTTTTTTTATACATTACACGTTATGCGTTAAACCGTGAGCACAATTGTCGGGAAGCAAATTGTCCAATCATGATAGAGACCGTAAGATCAATAGCGAATCCAATCTTACGATTTCCTTACTGACTACATCTTACGGTCTTACGTTTTTCTATGTGCTTTATTAAAGCGGAGAGACTCTTGCATAATGCATAACACATAATGCATAAGAAAATGAACCAATAAAAGTCCTTTATTTCCTTTCTTTCCGTGAAATAAAGAACTTTGATTGGTTGATTTTCTTATGCCTCATGTTTTATGCAATGTGTTATGCAAGAGTCATGGCCACAGCACAGACTCTTGCGTAACGCATACTGTATAAAGGAATCAATGAATCAAAATTCTTCTATTTCATGGAATAAGAAAAAAGGGAAAATTCTGATTAATTCGCTTATGCTCTATGCGTTATGCTGTGGCGACCGCTACTAGAGGTCCAAATGGGGGACTCGCTCGGATTCGCAAAAATACCAGTCACGCGAACTTGCTTTAAATAGCATAGCCACCTAAACTTGATTCCAGGGCGTCTAAGGCAGATCCCCACTACATCGCCTTACTGGTAAGTCTAGTAGTGTGGGATCGAAACGAAACGCCAGGACCGACCAAACAGCGTCGAGTCTGGCCTCCTTAGTGAGTTTCCTCTTTTACCGACATTCATTATATGTAGCAACCCGCTACAATGCGTTATGCAAAGATTTGTGCTGCGGCCTTCATGCGTTATGTAATGACCATTCTACAATAAGTCATTAATCATAAATCAGAAGTTATAAGCTGGAAGTTGATCAATCACAGTCATCAATTTCCAACTTCTAACTTCTGATTTATGACTAATGGCTTATTGTAGAGTGTGCTCCTCGCTTATCGCTGTTGTTTCGTGTCTTTAAAGTCTCCACCTTTAACTTAATTCATGAGGCCGACGAAGAGGCTGTTTCTATGTCTGACTCTTTTGTTTTAAGTGAAAACGTGTCAATTATATTTTTATTAAGATATATTTTTATATCTTCTCGAGTATATTTTTATTAAGATTTTAAATAGGGATGGGGGGTAATAATTAATGGGGATGGGGGCTAAATAATTAGAACATTTTTCTTTAATATAATCAGAACATGAACGTAATTTATATATACATATATATAAGTATAAAAATTATTTGATTCCTTAAATATTCCACTTTGTGAATTATCTTTCAATAAAGCATTGAAGGAATAAATTTTCTATTTCATAATAATTTATTTATCATTGTCATTATTTACTACATACAGTGTCCTAGATGTCAAGAACTTGCAAAAAAATTCTAATACCTAAAATATTTTTTAGAGTATATATATATATATATATATATATATATTATATACACTACAGGGTGTCCTGCAATTATTGATAAAGGGTTCTTATAGATAGAGCAGACTAAACTAAATCAAAAAATCAACTATTTTACGGTTTTCGCAATGGTTAATATGGAAATATCAATTTATAAAAATAGCCAAATTTGCCCGGCCTATCGCCAAAGCACGGCGACATAAGATCCACTTATCCAGTGAAGCGCGGGTTTGCCGTTGTTAGACATGTTAATACCAATATCACTTGTAAACATATGTCGTCTAGCGACAATGAACGTGCATCTCTCTGACTATGAACGGTTTTATCTTGCTGCGCGCTTGCATTTGACTGGGCGAATTTAACTATTTTCATAAACTAATAACTCGTTAACTAATGCGAAAAATGTAAAATAATAGACTTTTCGACCCATCGTCAGTTTAATCCACTCTACACAAAAGTGGTTTGTCAATAACTGTGGGACATCCTGTATATACATATATATATATTTATATACTCATTTTTCTTTTTTCTTTTTTAATGATTTAATAAATTCTTATTCAATTTGATCTATGCATCATTTTGGTAACTATTGAATCTTGTTTAGGCACTATCATCCGAGATATTTGGATCATAGTCTGGATCATCTTCATCATCATCTAACTCTAAGTCGTCCAGATTTTGGAACAAACTCTCATCTACTTTTACAGCATCACCTATTTGATCAAAATTGCATAACATGACATGCAACATTAGTATCTCTCTTAGAATGAAAGTCAAATAATTATTTTAAAAAATTACCATCATCTAAAAATTTAAGATCTGATTGATCTAGTGTCTTATCAGTCATAAATAATTCTCTGCCTGTTAATTTTTTGCCCTCACGATCTGTCAATTCTTTCCGTTTTGTATAGCCCATTTCTTCATCAAACATTTCTTTCCAGTTTAGGAAAGATTCCACTGTTACACGAGTTCCCTCAAATCGTCTCTATATATGAAAAAAAAATTAAAATTATCATCTATATAGATCTATTTAGAACATTTTACCCTTTCTGCTTCTTCTTCCTCTTTCAGTTTTTGAGCAGCATTCTCTTCTCTCTTGAGTTTTATTTTGTCCCATTGTACATTAAGCCATTCTTGAACTGTGCTAACTAACGTAAAAACCATTACCATTCCAAGATTTTCATTCATTTGTTCTATCAGATGTGCCTTCAATTTCTCGTCGCCATCCTCAAAATTTTCTTGCTCCGTAATTGATATAAGCAGTGGCTCATCTGGATATTTGGCTGTATATGTAAATTCTAATCGACAACTGAGACCATTGCCAGTTTCTGGTTCATATTCTTCTGTTTTAATTGGTATAGCAAATGTATAAAATGGTTCCGTCGCTAAAACTGTATAACGTATACACACTTGTATTATTCATGGCAAATAGTAATTCATTATAAAATTCAGTATTATCATTATATATTATATCACTTGCCTTAAGGTGACTCTACATAGTCAATAATATTGTCAATATTAACCTTTAATGCACACCCAGTTTTGGGCATCCTTACTACACATGCTCAGTCATTCGTGTTCTAGATTAATTTTCATCATTTTTAGTGAGTATAGCAAAATTATTAAAAGATTTTTATGTATATTTTGACATCTTTACAAAGTATTTGCAAAGTTATATATTTATAACAAATTGTATATAAATTGTTATAACTAAATATAATTAACAAAAATTAGGAAAATCTTTTTTATACAAAAATGTAAAATTCTAAAATAAAAATATTTAAAAGAGAAAATATGTTTTAATATCTTGAAGTTAATATTCCAAATTATATACAAAAGCAGAAATAGTTCAAGTGTCAACTGTCACAAAAATTTAATTATTTAGTAAAATTATATTACCTGAAAATGATATTTTTTTGATATAAATGAATAATTATAAATGAAGATATATTGCATTTATATTTTAAACAATACATTTTATTATTGCTATTGTGTTAAAAAAATATTATAATTTATTAGGAAAATGTTCTTTATAACATTACAGACAACATAATATATAATATTAGACATTTAATACAAGAGTGCTAAAAACTATGCGTTTATTAAGGGCTAATATGTTGTCCTTAAATTCTTTTTTTAATAATTCATAAAATATTCGCAATACAAACGAGAATTAATAGAAAATAAAGAAAAAAATTTTTTTACAAAAATGTACACTCTATACACATGATGATCATTTATGATCCACGGGTGAACTTCGGAGTTATTCTAGTTAAAGAATACGCATGTTGAGGCCGGAATGCACAAAACTTATTCTCTAGACGCCAAACTCTTTTTAGGAATAGAAAAGAGACCGGTATTTAACCAAGTGCTCTTAATATTTCAGAAAAAATAATATAATATGCACAGGACACATATAACCTAAAGATGTATATTAAGGATTAATAAATACTGACAATGTTACTGATCATATGGTTAATATTTATGGATTGGCATAGAATACTGACAATAATCTGAATTTTTTCTCGAGTATCAATGTTGCTTTATTAGGATCTATTAGTGAATTCAGTCAGTTGCACTACGCTAGATCAATGCACTAAAAGCTGCTTTACATGAAATTAGCAGAGTTAAATTAGCAGAGTTAATGCTTTACATAAAATTAGAAGAGTTAAATTAACAGAGTTAATGTAAAAGTATATATAAATATTTTAAACGCTTAACTATCTACTAATGATATTGTTAAGTTATTTAACAAAATGTATATGTATCATTTTATTGTTAAAAATTGATATATGATTGATTATACCTATTATATCACTGCATATTGAGATATGTTATATAAAGCAGCTTTCAATATGATCTAATGTAGTATAAGTGATCGGATTTATCATAGACCTGTTCTTTTTGGTTCATGTTTCTTCCTCTTCTTTCCTCCTGGAGAGAAAAGAAAAAAAATAAACTGATGCCAAAATTCAGCCAAAAAGAACAGACTTCATATGTCACAAATACACACACACACACACACACACACACACACACACACACACACACACACACACACACACGTATATGTATATATACACACACATACATATATATATACGCACATATATATGCACAGTGAAATAGATAATGGATGTTTTCCAAACAACATATACAGGTGACTCAGTTAACACTGTAGATACTTTCCAGCAAGAACACAGTCAGACACAGTGTAACACAATGAATCATCCTTATTGTTTGCCTATGTTAAGTTCCTTATTAGAAAGTACTCTGAGTCTTATACAAAGTGTTCCAACTATGATAGTGTTACACTGCTCGACACACTGTAAAAAGCTAAGTACAAGCTTATAAAATATGTCAATATTATCAACTTTTCAAAAAGTTATTTGATAGCCGTACTTATTTTGCAATAAAACCTTCACAAATCGCCAATTCTAAAAAAATTACAACTAAAGTCTAAATAAAAATCATAAATCTATTATTGATACGCTAAATATAATTATAAAAATAAGAATGGAAGACTACAATGCATTCTGGTGTTACACTATAAAATTAGACTGCGTTTCAACAAGTATTATGCCTGGTTTATGCTTCAGTCTTAATCATGCCGGTATTCATAGTCAGGCCTTATATTTAAGATTTCCTTAAATTTATCTTCAGATACTCTACAAATTATTTCATTGGCTAATCCGGAATATCTAAAGATAAATTTAAGGAAGCCTTAAGTACAAGATCTGACTATGAATACAGGCATTAGTCTTAAAAGTTGACAACAAAGAATGCCATAAGGTCATTTATGCTTCTCCAGTCTTAACAGTAATCTTAATCTTAGTTTCAAGAAAATTCCTATCTTTTAATTTTAGTCGTTAAAATTAAGTTAGGACTAATTCTTAGTTAGGACTAAGATTGAAGACTAAGATTAAAACCAAAGCATAAACCGGACACAGTGAAACAGTGTAACGTTTCTGTGTCCTAGCTGGAAAACAACCAATGTATGTAAAACTAAAGTGAAATATATTGTCAATAATACTGATCGTGTAAGGTTGTAAAAATACTAAAAATTTTGTTACTAATTCAATACTACCGATCAGTATATATTACTTGGCTGCATAGGGTCACATTTTGACATTGGATTATAGGTTAGAATTTTAATAACACGTACTTTCCAATTCCCCGCAATAAATCGACTCCAACGCTTCAATTTCATTGATCTGCTCATCTTTGTAATCCATATTCAACAAAGTAAATATAATCCCTAAACCAATTAAATATATATTTCACAATTTTTAATAAGCAGCAAATTATAGTTGAACGATACTTTCACTGCGCCCGTTATGATCAGATCCTGATAAAAGGAATAACATGGTGGAAGAGATCTGCAGCCAGAGAGAAACCTGAGAGAGAACGGCCCAAAACTTGTAACCACAAAATGCTGCCGCGTTCTACTGCCCTCTGACAAAGTGGATGTAAACTACATAACAACGATGGCAAATTATTGTCCATGGCACGAAAGCAAATTATTAGGGACAAACCGGAAAGTATCCGATATCCAATATTATCCGGCACTTTTACTATCTGACCGGATATCCGGATATTATTAGTATCCGAGAATATATCCGGTTGAATTTGATATCATTAAATTGTTGATTTTTTTCTTTCTTATGCAAATGTTCTAGGAACAAGTATGCATATCTTATGATGCTGTAATATGTTATATAATGTTGGAAAATTTTTCTCTAAAGAATTTTTTTTGTTTTTGGAAGCTACTTTCTTTGAATCCAGTCCAGTATCTGGAAAATGTTGAATATCCAATTCGAAGAAATCGTCTTCTCAAAAATCCAACCGAATATCCGATATTACATTCTATCCGGATATCCGATATCCGGTAATTTTACAATCCGGGGGAGGGGAGGTCCATCCTTAAAAATTATACTTCATCTAATTATTCGTGAAAAAGTTATAATTACAGTAAGAAAATTTTATAGGGCGCACAGTAATATTTACAATTCAAAATGATGAAATTTACATAAAAACGTGAATAAAAAAATTGCTACGATTTTCACTTTGCAAACGTAAATAACACACTATTTAGTATCCCACTTCGAAATGTGTCGTTCCTACTCGGCTGCTATACAGAGACCGACTTGATGCAAACTTTTCAACTGATAGTTGAAGATCTAAACTAATGGTAGATGAAGCCAGAAATTCAATTTACAGCGGAATTATAAAATATATATATATGATTGAAAAAGCTTTGGGGTTTTGGTATTTAAGAGTTACATTTATTAATTAAAATTAATAGTATTATCTAATGATTGAAATATAAATAAGTCTATCGTGAACCTCGCTTTTCCAACTTTTTGTATATGCTTGTTTTAATGTGAAATTTAATCGACCGATTAGCTTACTTGGTGAAACCGGTCCTTCGTTTTCTCCGCACAAATTCTCACAATTCTGGCAATTCCGGACTATTCCGTATATTGCATGCGCATAAAAATCGGCAGAACGAACGTAAAACATATCATCATGAGCATTCCGCCAATTCCATGTTGCACATACGTTCCGTACTATGGAATCGCGCTATTATGCACTATGCATTAGGTTGTATTTTCATGCAGACGCTCGAGTGTTAGCATGACAATACAGCCTTAAGATGCTTTTTCATAAACGTCGGTTAACGCGTGACGCTCAAAATCAGATAAAGTTAAATTCATGATTTGTTGTAATTTTCGAAAAAATGTGTT